TAAGTTTAGTTTATCAAGTTTTTACATCTTTACCTTTCTTTATGTTTTATAAGATGGTGAGAACAAAGGCTCAGGTGCACCAGAATAGAAGACTTTCTAAATCATGATTTTAAAACAGTCTGTAGTTCAGAATGTATCCATATTAAGTGTCCTTTTTCTTCACTGCAGAATGGAGTTTGCAGGACTGGATGACGACCTTTTTGAGGTGGAGCGTGAGCGAGCCAAGGCAGATGAGGAGTATTCTGCTCGCTTTTGTGACGATTGTTGGTTCCTGGATGTGGGACCAGAGGAACTTGTGTCGCAGGAGGATAACTTGAGTGTACAAAAATATATTGCTGAATATCTGTTTTTAAGAAAAGATTATGATTCTGCTATTCTCAAATATAATGAAATTTTATCTGACATGCCTACTAGTAATATAGCAACTAAAAGAGAATGTTACGAAGGCATTGCCAGAAGCCATTTAAGAAAAGGAACACCCAAGGATGCTATTGAATATGCAGAAAAATTGCATACAACATCAAAAACAGTGGAACAAGCAACTGTAAGTTGTTCTCTGTTAGCAGATGTAAACCTAGCAGCAGGAGAATACAAAGATGCTCTTTCAGCAGCACAAACACTAGTAACACTTCACTCATTTAACAGTGATGCCTGGTTGAAGCTGGCTTGTGTATATGCAGCTCTCAACAATGTTGCCATTCCAAATGTACAAGATCTCATGAAATTTTCTGCTTCAGGCAGGGTTAAGGTTGAAAATACAGACAGTGGTTTAGAAACTTGTGATAATTCAGATGACGAAATTCTGATGCTGGGGGAGACGTTGTTGAGTTTGACCAGTGAAGCCGATCAAGATATTCCTACAATGGGGGACATTGATGTGGCAGTGCAATTAGTTGCAGCCTCTCTGCTAAGGTCCTTTGTTCTTCTGAAGAAAACAGTAGGAACAGCTGTTGGATTTGCTGCTGGATTTAGTGTGTTGTATCAGAAGAAAATTCTGAAGGACTTGAAAATGTTGTTGCATGCAGATGCACTGCAACATTTGCGACAACAAGTTTTGAAAAGTGGAGACATAATGGAGAAAATGAGCATTCCGTCACAGGAAGTACCAGACTTTGTGGACAGAGGGAGTTCCAAATTCAAGTCAGAAGAGGATGAGAGTTGCTTTGAGGGAATTTCACAGCAGAACTTTGAAAGTCGATGGTTCAGTTGGATTTGCTAAAAAAAAAAAAAAAAAATCACACAAAACATCAGCCTCACTGTGACACAAGAAAAAGACTGATTGAGATAGAAAGAAGGAAAAAAGAGCGAGGAAAATATATGACATTTCAATTTAATGCAATTAATTTGATTGAACATTAAGATTAAAGTATGTCATTTTACTTGTATTTTCTATTTTTCCACTACCATAGTTGAAACTATGACATCTTGAATAGCTAGCTATTTCCTTCTGTTATAAAAAAATGGATTTAAATGCATTACAATTTGTATGTTATTTTATTACTGTTGTTACGTAATTTATTATGATATTTAGAAGTAAATGTTGATTTCTTCATTCTTCTCTTTTAGTAAATATATTAAGGCATAGTTATTGATGAACAAGTAAAAAGTAAGATTAAGAACAAATTACTTTTCAAATCAAGATGGTTAACCAGTGTCTTGATTTCATGTAGCTCAATACATTATGTAGATTTATTATCTGCAAGTCAAATAATTCACTTTCGGCTACAGGCTTCTTAGGGGCCCAGCCAGTCATTAGCTGAGACCTTAGGTGAAGACATCATTGGAGATAATGCTTATTCAAACAAAGACTTCATTAGATATAGTGTCCAGTGACATGAAAACATCCTTAGATGTATAGCCTAATTAAATGAAACCTTTATTGGATATAGTGCCCAGTTAGAAACTAAACTGGTTATATTGCCCATTTAGATGGGAACTTCATTGGATATAGTGCCCAACTAGAAACTAAACTTTATTAGATAGAGTACCCAGTTAGATGAATGGTTAATGGTTATAACAAATAAATGTGCTAGACATCAAGGGTCACATAGCAGTACGGTAAAGCATTGTGATGAAAAAGGTAAAAATGAATTAACAATTAGGATAAGTTGACAGAAGAAGGGGATGAAGAAGAGAAAGAAAAGGAAATGGGGAGAAGAAAAGACTATGCAGAATTAGTTTAGGCAAGGGATTATTCCCCCTACATTGGGCCTCAGTCACCGTCTTCTAAGCCCCCCACGACAACAACGAACAAGGGATTGGGGGCCAGTTAGATGAAAACTTCATTGGATAGAGTGCCCAGTTAGATGAAAACATTATTGGATATAGTGCCCAGTTAGATACTAAAATGGTTATAGTGTCCATTTAGATGAATACTTCATTGGATATGGTTAATGGATTAATGGTTAGAAGAAATAAATGTGCTAGACATCAAAGGTCATACAGCACTATGGTAAAGTATTGCGGTGAAAAGGGTGGAAAGGAGTCAACTATTAGGATAAGATGTGTTACATGTCAAAGGTTGTAGAATGTTGTAGGATAGAATATTAGTGTGAAGGGTATAGAGGGGGAGCAAATGGAATACAGTGGGGATTTGTAAAAGGATGTAGTTAAAGATACAGGGCAATAAGATCAAATGGAGAGTTATGTTTTTGAGGAAAGGAGAGTAACACTGTATGGCAAAACTGCAAAAGAGCTATTATGAAACAATCAGATAATAAAACAGTAAGAAACGATTGTTGTGGAAGTAGGAGAAGAATCTTGAGAATGAAATAAGGGAACAGGGGAAGGTGGTGAAGTATCGAAGGAATGTCAGGAGGTGAGGGATCCAAAGAAGGACATCGTGGTGACTTAACCCCGGGATACACTTCTTAGTCACCAATGAGCCAGTAACAAGTACTGCCTGAAATGCTGAGACTTTTTGGGAAGATGGGAGGGGAGCGGAGGGAGGTACAGTTTTGGAATAGGTAGAAGGAGAAAAACCTTGTCGGCATGCTTCTTGTCTAGCCTCACATAGAGTGAGGCCTAGTTTGAATCTGAGAACTGTTACCTCAGATTTGAGCTTGTAGGCAGGGCAGCTTCTATAAAATATATTATGGGAGCCACTGCAATTGGCACACATGCATGACTAAGCAGAGCAATATGAACGATTATGACTAGGTTGGGCACAATGAGGTCAGTCAGGGTAGCTTGGGACTCAGATGTAACTGCGACAAGGCGTGAATGATCAGAGTGACTGCCAAAGGAAACTTTGCCTACCTGTTTTTGGAGACATTATTGGAAGAGAAGGGTATTGTTAGAGTATGAGGTCGTAGGGGGAATCACAAACAAATGATCCCACTTGGCTGAGCCGAAAAGGGTACTCAAGAGGTGGAAGCAGTAGAAGAACAAGGGTGGGAGGAAGATAGGGTGGTATGGAGAGTGGTATTACTATTGGGAGTAGAACAATATGGGTGAAGAATAGTAATAAAGGGGGTAGAAGTAAACTATGAGGAAGACTGTGCAGTAGAAGATGGAGTGGAGGATCTATGGAAGAGAGGAACGGGTGTATTCTGAAGGAGGAGAAATGACCTGGGTGGATAGTTCAGAATGGATAGGGTTGACCACATACATTGAGGAGGGGGTATTAGTATCAGTTGGAGCTGCGTTCAAAGTAGAGGCAGAGGTCAGGAAACCGATGAAATCAAATTAAGATAGCTAGTTGCTGAAGGGCAAACCTTAATGCCCCTAATAAATAAAATGGGGAGAGGAAACGTTCTACCCTTTGGGTCCCCATGAGAGGCAAGTGCTTGACAAATAACCAAGGGAATACTGTGCCCATGGCTCCAAGAGGCTGTTCATAATTTACACAAAGCCAGCCTTTCATCCTTTCAGCATGGCTTTGACACCTGAGGAAGTAGACAGAAGGTGGGGAGGATGAAGAAGAGTAGGAGAGAAAAGGGGGATAAGAAAAATACATGCAAAATTATTGGAGGCAAGGCCTGGGGTCCAAGGTAAGGGTAATCCCCTACCTTGGGCCCCAGTCTCCATCTCGTAAGCCCCACCAACAACAACAGTGAGCAATGGATTGGGGAGCTTATTGGATATAGTGCCCAGCTAGATAAAAACTTCATTGGATATAGTGCCCAGTTGGATGAAAATTTCATTGGATATAGTGCCCAGTTAGATTAAAACTTTATTGGATAGAGAGCCCAATTGGATGATAATTTCATTGGATATAGTGCCCAGTTAGATGAAACTTTATTGGATATATTGCCCAGTTAGAAATTAAACTGGTTATAATGCCCAGTTAGATGAAAGTTCAGTGGATATAGTGCCTAAATAGATGGAAACTTCATTGGATATAATGCTCATTTAATTGTCAGCTTGGCAGAATTGTGAAGAGGGAACATATTCAGAACTGATTATTTATCTACTTAGTTTGAACACTCATGGGGCATTAAGGAAGGGACTCTTGCATTATTCTTATTGATAAATGAGTGTGGAATGTACCCTTCATGAGCCATGACTGGAAGAGCACCAACTCCAATGAGGACACTATTTCCATGCTCAGGATTTTATTCCTGCCCACACTGACTAGTGGTGCAGGTTGTATTACGGAAAAATGAAGAATGACACATAGTACAGTGTTATCGTAATTATCACTGAGTTATAGACTACCTTGTGAGTTAATCTGGAGTCTATTACCATCTAGACACAATATATCAAATGAAGAATATAAACATTGGAAAATGTAAAAAAAAAACAAAAAATGCAGAGGCAGAAAAAGATAATAATAACACTGCAAAGGGGAAGCAAGGAGCCTTGACACTGCCCATGAATGCTTGTGTGTGCCTGACCTATGAGAATGGCCACTTGATTAAACCTAGTGCCTGGAGTTTGGGCCATGTGCGGGCAGCAAAGGACCCGGATCCAAACAGTTAGTAAAAGAACTCTGTTAATAAGAAAACAAATATTTTTGTTTTTTAATTCATCAAGGTAAGGACAGTGAAAATTCAACATTACATAAATAAATATTTTATTTGATTAAATATTAAAAATTACTTACAAAGTATGTCATAGCCCCAAAAAAGAATAGATTAATGATAAAAGGAGATAAATATTTATAATAAAACAAACTATACAAAAGTAGATCAATCATATCTAAGAAAATTATTGCAAGGGAGAATCTACGCCTTTCTCCTTTGGTCAGAAGACCTGCTGAGGTGTCTGAAGTGTGTGTGTGTGTGTGTGTGTGTGTGTGTGTGTGTGTGTGTGTGTGTGTGTGTGTGTGTGTGTGTGTGTGTGTGTGTGTGTGTGTGTGTGTGTGTGTGTGTGTGTGTGTGTGTTTCAGCCTGGTCATGGTAAGCTCTTCTACTTGTGGCTTAAAGCACCATAGTTGTAGTAATCATAATTATTTAAATTAAGATTTTCTTTCCAAGTCTATGAAAATAATCCCAAACCACTTGGTAAAAAATAAGTAAATGTTAGGGTTACAAAATGCCCTGAATAGGTACACAGATATTTTTTTCAAAATATCTAAAAAAAAAAAAAAAGTGTTGTATTCCCAAGTTGCTTAGTTCCCCATTTATAAATTTTATAAGATGTATTCTTTAGGTTTCACCAAAAGTAATAAAGGCTAAGTATTGTGCATTCAATGATAGTCAACATGCAGTACACAAGGCAACTGACACAAGCTTAATTAAGTTCAGCTGTTCAGAGAATGTGTACTATTGTTGCATTGTGCTTAAAAGTACTATTAATAATTCAATTGTGTTCAGCTTGGTAAGAAATCCAATGCTAAACTAAATTATACACTTAAGAAATGCTCTTTAAGCAGACCATAAATAAGTTACACTCAATAATGATAATGACAATGATAATGATAAAGATGATAAAAAAAAAAAAAAAAATAATAGTAATAATAATAAAAACAATAATAGCATCAATAATAATAATAAAAAAATATATATAATAATATTAATACTAATAATGACAACAATCATATATCAGTAAGAATAGAAGTACATAAATAATAAAATAATATACAAATATTAAAATTAACATTAGCCATAGTAACCCTTCTTCACAATGATAGCTTTTAAGGACTGCCTCTCCTGTGATCTCTCTCTTGACCTATCCCACTCTGATAACAAACACACACTGAAACAGTACACTATCCAATACACATAAATCATCCACTCATCTCAACTTAAACTAACAATACTGATAACAGCAAAAAAGGAAATACAAATTGCGACCACTAGTCATCATCCAAAAGATTGAATTTGCGTGCATGTAAATCAAGTCATTCACAAGAGAGATTCATATTTTGCTGTGGAGCCAAGGATTTGTCTCAAAGGCAGGAGGATCACTGATATGTAGCTTCATCTGAGAATCGGTAATAAAAAGGTCAATCTGTAAATCTTGCAACAATAAATCACACACAACAAAGATATAAAAGATACAAATATGATAAAAAACACAAACACTATCGACAGCATTCAGACAGTAAATTACATTTTCCAGCATTTAGAGGGAGAGAAGGATGGATGGATGGATGGATATATATGTGTGTGTATGTGTGTGTGTGTGTGTGTGTGTGTGTGTGTGTGTGTGTGTGTGTGTGAGAGAGAGAGAGAGAGAGAGAGAGAGAGAGAGAGAGAGAGAGAGAGAGAGAGAGAGAGAGAGAGAGAGAGAGAGAGAGAGAGAGAGAGAGAGAGAGAGAGAGAGAGAGAGAGAAATGCAAGTTATGCCAGTGGTTCCCAAACTGGGGTCCTAGAGTGCTAAAATTATTGAACTGATAGCCTTCAAAATATAAAGAGGTTTGATACATATAATTATCATAAGGCTACTAACCAGATTTTTTCCTAATAATTCCATTTATACATTTGCATAAGGACACACTACATATTTCAGCTGTAAGAAGAAATTGTGAAAACAAGCCTGGTGATCATAAAATTGGCTTACTAGGTATCCATATCATTAAGGTAAATGGAAAGATTAACCCATTCACGCCGGGTGTCACGTATACGTGACGGGCCCACTGTGAGTTTACTTGTTTAATTGTTTTCACACATAGATGGCTACACTTCTACTTGTACTGCCTGTGTCGTCTGTTTACCCTTTTCTTTAATTTACGAAAATATCTTACGTTATCTTATTCTGCTGTTACTAATGTTTATAACATTATAGTAATTATAATGTTTATAATGAAAATAACCATCGATATTCATAGTACTAGTAAAAAATACATTTTCCCGCCAAATGAAATCAGGTAAGGCAGAGCCATCTAGTGTAGAGAAATTTCATAAAAAGTATAAAAAATGAGCAGAGCATTTTTACCCGGCGCGAATGGGTTAATTTTACAAGTTGGGAACCACTGTTAAACTGTGTGAATAAATATAAGAAAGGTTTGAACTTTAAAATAAAATATAAAAGACAATTTTAAACAGTCAACATTAAAAATTTTCTAACCACAATCATACTCAAGAACAACATACAGCCTAATACATCACTGATGAAACAGGAAACTTACAAATAGAGGAAAAGACACTTCATGAGGCAGAAAATTGAAACTAAAGACTTGATCCCATAACCTCATCTGTCATAATGATTCTAAACCCCGAAAACAGATGATTACTCTTCACTGTACACCTTCCAAAGAGAATGCAGCTTTGCAAACCGTCTGTAATAAACACTGGCTGGCAATGGGCGTGTACCTATTTCACCCCTACCCAATCTGCACTGAAAAAAGTAATATTGCCTAACTCTAGAAGTGTTAGCTAACTTTGATTTCATTGAGGGAGTGTTCGTCCCGCTTTATTCCGTTGGGGATTAAGGGTGCCTCTCTTGGTGTGCTCACGACCCCATTCAGCTGAAGTTTGTTGTAGTTCTCGTCCTTCTGGTACTTCTTCTTTCCTTCCTGGTATTTAGTATAAGTGTACATGAAGCCTCCAACGGTGTTCATTACAATGCCTGCACAGAAATGAATTTCCATTTATTTATGGTTATTATGTATATATATATACAAAAGAAAATACATGTATTTATATACTCACATCAGTTATACCGAAACCTGCTATGTATCTAGTTTCAAGACAAAGACAAGTATAAAAATATAAATATATGCTAGATTACCATAGTGGCAGTTCTCTGCCTCTACAGTCTGGCAACATGCTAAAGACTTAACCTAGACACACCAACTCTTTACCCCAATAATATACACTTATGAATGTATCTCACTCACACACGCACACACGCATTATTATATTCTTTTGAAAATATACATAGAAAGTAATGTAACTTTCTCTATAAAAATAGATAATACACTCTAATTAATGGGAAACTAAGTTTGGTTACCTTTGGTTAACTTATGTATTACAACTGGAAAGGTAATCATGACATCTGTTGCTGAGCATAGGTTGAGAACCACAATACTATAGTGTGTGCCAGACTAGGCTACATAAAGATGGGCTTGGTTAGGTTTCACAACACTAGCATTAGGTGTATAAATATACACATGTACACAAACAAACAAAAACAAAGACAGACAGACATACACACACACACACATTCTGCTCTCACTTGCTCCATTATCCCAACTAACCTGTGATATTCAGGGGATGATACTTGACTCCGCCAAACACGAAAAATCCCACCAATGTCTGGATGACTGACTTGGCCACGGACACAAGTGACGTGGTCAGGGCTGAGTTGAGGGCAGTGCACAGGAACAAGGAGTAGTTGAGAACAGAGCCTAGTGATACCAGTGTCCAGAATGTCAGGTGGAAGCCAATATCTGAGGCAAAAAAGATAAAAGAAACTACAATTAGCCCTAAACCTATTGGCAAAGTAAGGAAAACATAGTAAAAATATAACATACATTCTGAATTATAAGAAAAAAAAAGAAAAAAAGAGTATTATAACCAAAAGATTAACAAACAGGCCACAAAATTCTATTTTACCAAAGCAGTATAACAGAATCAAAATCTGCCTAATCTTCGTCAATATCTTACCTGTCAGGTATTGACTCTTGACAATGGCCTCAGGCTCGCCCATCAAGACAGATACAATGATGAAGGGTGCTAGTGTGTTGTAGCTGTTGAGCTGCAGGATCTCCAGTGTTGACAGCTTGTTCTCAGCACACTGCTGGACCAGCGTGAGGTACAATCCTTGTGCAAGCACGCTCAGGCCACCCATTGTGTATGCGAAGGTGTCTATAGTGAGGTCACCCAAAGCTGCAAGTCAAGAAGTTTTCATGTTATTTCTATATAAAGAATAGAGAAAGAGAGAGAACAGAGAGAAGTTAAAACAGATAAAAAAGATGCCATCAACTATAATCCATACTGACAAAGAAATAAAAATAAAAATAGAGCAGAATAAAACAAAAATATTCCAATTTTATAAAATGACATAACAATCCATAATCACACCAGATGACACAACAATTGGCAAATACAAAAATTGAAAAAAGAGAGTTAGAGCCAAGGCATTGTCTGGCATCACCCACCTGCCACAAAGCATCCTGAGGTGATGATGAGGATGGAGGAGATGAGGGTGCAGGAGGGGAATGGCCGGTGCAGGATCACCACTGATAGCACCAGGTTGACAAGGGGCGTGCAGCGCTTTACTGCCCCATACATGGGGATGTTCATGCCTGCAAGAAATATGATGAGGACAATAATGATGAAAAGAATAATGAGAAGAGTTACAAACACACACACACACACACACACATACGTACGTACATATATATATATATATATTATGTATATATATATATATATAATATATAGATATATACAGATATATATATATCTATATCTATCTCTCTCTCTCTCTCTCTCTACATATATACACATACATACATACACACATTTATATCAATAAACCTGCTTTACCTATGACAAACAATAATTACGAAATAGCATTACCAATACCAATAATGAATAACCAAATATAACTGATATCAATTGGAAAAAAAATTAAAGGGAGGAGTTTCTCACCCTGAAGCGCCATGAGAGAGAGCGTGGCGTGGAAGGCGTAGCCAAGGGAAGGTGCAAGGAAGAGCCG